CTGTTAGGTGGTTTTGTGAATATTCAGCTCTTCTGGGAAAAAAAAAAAAGCCTGAACAAAATCCCTCACTCTCTAATTTCTTTCTTCCTTTTTATTTGAGGGGTAAAATACAGATAGTTTCTCAGTAAGAACCCTGTGGAAGGAAGGAAGGTAGGAAAGGAAGGGTCACTAATCCCAGAAAGCTGGACTAGGTCAGCATTACTGGTGGAAGACACACCGTACCAAGTCTGTAGCCTTAAGTGCACCTGAATGCTCAAGCTGTCTGTGCTACCATGTACCAGCCTCTCCCTCCACCAGAAAGAAATGAAACAACTGCAATTTAACAGGGCAAGGAGTTCAGGAAGTCTCTAATCTCATGAATTTGCGCATGAGGTATGAGGTGAGAAGAGCTGTTCTTATTTGCTGAGCAATAGTAGAAGGTTTGTTGTAAGCAAACTTCGTAAAAGTGTCTGGGTGTTCCTGCTGTATTTCTGCTGACATGGCATATAGCAGTGTTTGATGGACTTTCGGGTGACCCCAAATTTTAGGAGCCTGAAGATCTTTCAGTTGCAGGAGTGGGACTCAGAGTTGAAGTGCAAGAATGTCTGGAAGTGGGCTGGTGAACTGCATTTATGTTTAAAAATAGGAGAATTTTCTATTGCATTTCACATACCTCTTTATTAGTAAGTTAACACTGTTAAAAAGAAAAGATCTGAGAAAGTAGAAGACAGTTTTTACAATGCTTTAGAAGTTTCAAATGTAATCTGTCAGTTCCCGTGTCCAAAATGGAACTGTCTTAAAATTTACAGATTCTTAATCATTAGAACAGTATGAAACTGTCTTGCAGATATTGGGAAGCTGGAACAGACACCAAGAGGGGCAACTACACTCCTAACTTAAGTCTTTCAGTTAAAAACTAGGTGGGATGAATCCATGCCTCCATGTCTGTTTGCTCCGTCTTCTAGCAATGGGTGACTTTAGCGTGCCTTTCGACTGTATGTGCTGGAAACTCAGAGCTGGTTGAGAGGTATGGTTGTTTTGCTGCAGATGCACGTCAGCAGCGAGGACAACTCGCTCAAGGGAAGGGGAAGCGGAGCACATCATGGTTTGGAGAGGTCCTTGTGCTTCCCCGGGGGTGCGGTTTGCTGCCACGTGGATCAGGGACCCCAAGGGAGGAAGCGTAATCTAGTGTGGGGGCTCAGGAGGCCTGTGCTGGTTTTGGCTGGGATGGAGTTAATTTTCTTCACAG